TACTGAAAGTGTTCTACAAATTCAATGCAATCCCCATCAAAATCCCAGTGGCATTTTTGACTGAAATAGACAAAAATATATACAAAATTTATTTGCAAGCACAAAAGACCTTTAATAGCCAAAACAGTCTTAAGAAAGAAGAACAAACCTGGAAGCATCACAGTTCCTGATTTCAAAATATATTACAAAGCAATACTAATTAAAACAGTATGGTACTGGCATAAAGACAGACATATGACCAATGGAATAGAATAGAGAGCCCAGAAATAAATCCACATGTAAATGATCAACTGATCTTTGACAAGGGCGCCAGGAATACACAACAGGGAAAAGATAGTTTCTTCAATAAATGGTGTTGAGAAAACTGGATAGCCACATGCAAAAGAATGAAATTGAACCCCTATCTTACACCATGCAGAAAAATCAGCTCAAATGGATTGAAGATGTAAACACAAGACTGGAAACTAAAATTCCTAGAAGCAAACACAGGGTAAACGTTTCATGACATTGGTTGTGGCAATGATTTAATGAATATGATGCCAAAAGCTCAGGCACCGAAGGCAAAAACAGACAAGTGGGACTACATCAACCTAAAAAGCTTCTGCACAGCAAAGAAAACAATCAACAGAGTGAAAAGCAGCCTACAGAATGGGAGAAAATATTTGTAAATCGTGTATCAGACAAGAGGTTAATTTCCCAAATTTATAAGGAACTCCTACAGCTCAATAGCAAGAGAAATTAACCCAATTAAAAAATGGGCTAAATACTTGTATAGACATTTCTCCAAAGACGACATATAAATGGCCAACAGGTATATGAAAAGATGCTCAACATCACTAATCATCAGAGAAATGCAAATCAAAACCACAATGAGATATCATCTTACACCTGTTAGGATGGCCATTATCAAAAAAACAACAAAACAACAAGTGTGGTGAGGATGTGGAGAAAATGGGACCCTTGTACAGTGTTGGTGGGAATGCAAAAACGGTGCAGCTGCTATGGAAAACAGTATGGAGATTCCTCAAAAAATTAAAAATACAACTACCATATGATCCAGCAATCTCACTTTTGGGTATTTTATCCAAAAGAATTGAAATCAGGATCTGTAAGAGATATTAGCACTCTAATGTTCATTGCAGCACTATTCACAATAGCCAAGATGTGGAAACAACGTAAAAGTCTATTGATGGGTATTGACAGATGAATGGATAGAGAAAACAGAGTCTATACATACAATAGAATATCATTCAGCCTTAAGAAGAAGGAAATCGTGGGGCTGGCCCCATGGCCGAGTGGTTAAGTTCGCACGCTCTGCTTTGGTGGCCCAGGGTTTCGCCATTCGGATCCTGGGAGCAGACATGGCAACACTCATGAGGCCATGTTGAGGCAGCATCCCACATGCCACAACTAGAAGGATCCACAACTAAAAATATATATATATATACACAACTATATACAGGGGGGCTTTGGGGAGAAAAAGCAGAAAAAAAAAAAGAAAAGAAGATTGGCAACAGTTGTTAGCTCAAGTGCCAATCTTTAAAAAAAAAAAAAAGGAAATCCTGTGATATATGACAGAAATGAACCTTGAAGACATTATGCTAGGTGAAATAAGACAGTCACAAAAGGACAAATGCTGCATGATTCCATTTATATGAGGTATCTAAAATAATAAACCTCATAGACTCAAGAGAGTAGAATGGTTGCCAGGAGCTGGGGAGAGGGGGAAATGGAGAGTTGCTAATCAATGGGCATAAAGTTTCACGATGTAAGATGATTAAGTTCTAGAGATCTGATTACAACATTGTCCCTAAAGATAATAATACTGTATTGTACACTTTAACATTTATTACGAGAGATATGTTAAATGTTCTTATACAATAAAAATAAAAATTTTAAAGTAAAAACGAGAAAGTCCACCCCTCCCTCCTGTCCCACAATCAGTTCACTAGAAGAAAACACTCTTTAATAGTTTTAATTAATGGGGGGAGCCCTCCAGTCATTAGCTATGCATATCATAGCAATCCATTCTCTGGATATATTCAGTCTCTCAATCAACAGAGATTCACCAAGTGTTTCTTAGATTCTAGTCAGTGCTCTAGGAACTAGAGAGAGAGAGTGGTTTTCTGCCACTTAAACATTTATAGAGCTCTTCCATGTGCCAAGTGCCATGTTAGTACTGCAGATTCAGCTAAGAACAAGGCAGATGTGGTCCCTGCCATCAGGGAACTGGCATTCTAGAAGGCAGGCAGACAAGAGACCACAAATGCAAACCAACCAAAGCAAATTGGACTGTGGCAACTGCTGGGAAGAAAGAAACAGAGTCTTATGAAGGGGAATAACAGAGGGTCCTAGTCTAGATGGGTGATTGGAAGACTTCTCTGAGGAGATGTGGAAGTCAAGGGAATTCTAACAGAAGGAAGAGCAAGTGTGCAACCCTGGGCAGGGGGGTGGGAGTGGGGAGGGAACCTTGGGAGTGACTGAAGGCCAGGGTAGCTGGGGTGTGGTGGGCAAGGTGGGCAGGGGTATGAGATGGTATTGGCAAGGTGGGAAGGGTTGGAGCATGCCTGGCCTTGAGAGGCCTGGTAGAGTTTGGAGTTTATTCTTGGTATAATTAGGAGTCACTAAAAGCCTTAAGCAGAGGAGTGATATGACCAAATTTGTTTTTAAAAGATTCCTGTGACTGCCATGTGCAGGATGGATTGGAACAGGTCTAGAAAGGTAATGTGGAGACCAAATAAGAGGCCATTGCAGTGTCCACACAAGAGATGATGGTGGCTTGGGTTAAGATGGTAGAAATAGGGCCACACCAAGATCTTGTTCTGCAACTGGCATACAATATTTAAAGTGTTGGAATTCCCAAGTTCAAGGGATGTGGAGGCTGTCTTTCAGAGCTCCTAGGGAGCTCAACTTCCTCAAAGGAATCGGCATACGAGTCCAGGGGCTAAATGTCCAGAGGTATTTATAGCAACATTGCTCATAGGCAGAAATACTGGAATCAAAGGAATGCCCACCAGTAGGGAGTTGTTGAGTGAATTATGATACATTCACACCCCGGACTCTTACGAAGCCATTAGAGTGTTCCCTGCTGACTTGGAGAGATTTCCACAAAGGATTGTTGGATAAGAAAAGCAAGATGCAGAATATGTTTAAAATTTCATTTAAAAAACAAATCCTTTATATATGTGTGCTTGTATGATTATATGAGCAATGGGGAAAAAGACAGAGGCTTCATATTAAGGTGGGCTCCCATTGAAACTAGAAGTAGAGGAGAAAATTAAGCCAGGAAATAAATGAAAAAGCAAGGAAAAGTTATTAAAAGGACAAATACACTCACACTTATTCATTTTTGTTAAATTAGATATACATCTACAAAAATATTTTTTTAAATAATGCATTTTTGGGGCCAGCCCGGTGGCGCAGTGGTTAAGTTCGCATGTTCTGCTTCAGCGGCCCAGGGTTTGCCAGTTTGGATCCCGGGTGCGGACATGGCACCACTTGGCACGCCATGCTGTGGTAGGCATCCCCCATAGAAAGTAGAGGAAGATGGGCACGGATGTTAGCTCAGGGACAGTCTTCCTCAGCAAAAAGAGGAGGATTGGCAGCAGTTAGCTCAGGGCTGATCTTCCTCAGGAAAAAAAAAAAGTTAAAAAAAAAAGAAAAGAAAAGAATGCATTTTTTTAAGAAGCTGACATTGGACTTATTTTGGCTGGAATTGAAGTATAAACCCTGTTTGCAGCAGGAGCTTGCCTGGTAGAGATAGCTTTCCTATTCTCTGAGTCAGAATTGAGCTCCCAGTGGGATCCCCACTAACTCCTGTTTCTTTGCCCTCTGGAAGGAAGCCTGTTTCTTTGCCCTCCTGTATCTTTGCTCATGAGAATTACATAGGAATGTTGCTTGGCTTGTTTGAGAATCACATTTCTTTTCTACTTTCACTTCTCGTTTAGTAACTTTACAGAAGACAAAATATAATCCCTAATCCAAACCACTCCTAGCACAGGGAAAGCTTTTGTCCCCCTCCGACAATCACAGGAGACTCCTTGACGCCTCCCAGAGCCTAGCACGCAGAGCTCTCAGTGTGTTTGTCAAGTAAACAAACGATGTGCTCCTATGACATCCAAGGTGATTTCCCCTAAAAACTGGCACCATTTAGGGCACGGGAGAGAAAAACCACTAGAGCTGGGATTTGAGTTGCCTCATCTAGCAAGCTCTGCTCAATTATTTTCTCCTCTTTAAATTCATGCCATATTAAAAGGGTCAAAAAGGCAGCTAGAGGGTGGTTTAAAGTATAATAAAAATTATATGTATGTATTAGAGTGAAGGAAAAAGGATTAGAAGCCTATATATCATATTTAATAGTCGTCTCTAAGTGGTAGAATTTTGGGTCATTTTAATAGAATGTTTTATTTTTTACTCACTTGTACTTTTAACTTTTTCAGTAGTTCTCACGCATGACGATAATAATGATTTTTTAAAACTTTTCAGTTGTGTCTAGCTCCTGAAAGACCTGCAATAAATATTTGATAAATAAAGCTTGGCTATTTAAAGAAAGCAGTACATGTACATTATAGAAAATAGGCTTTAAAAAGCACAAATAAAAAGGAAAAAACAGTATAATTTTGCCATTCAGAGATAACTCAATACCTTTATATAGAATTTTCCAGTTTTTATTTATTAAAAAATTCATATATAATAGCTTTTTGAAGATGGGATTTTTGTAACCTCTTCCTCTTCTCTTCCCCCATCTTTCTTTCTCCCTGAATCTACCATTAAAATTATAGAGAAAATTAGCTACCAGGTGGCTTGGAAATGCATGTCAGCAGCAAAGTGACCCCTCTTCCAGGAAGGACACAGCTCTTGGGTCTGGAATATCACATGGTCCATTAATTCACTCAACAGAGATTTCCAGGCACCTTCACTAGGGGTTTGGCCTTCTGGAGAGTAAGTCAGTGTCACTTTGTGTTGGACACAGAGAAAAACTCTGCATTTTTCTCTTGCAGGCATTTTCAGCTTTTTACTATGTGATGGAGTTTTTAAACTTTACATCGGGGGAAACTCCCTCCCAGGAAAAGGTGATGGACAAGATGAAGGAGTTCTGCTCTCTGCGCTGGGAAGAGGTACGTCTTTCTCTTATATCTCATTGGCCAGGACCAGCTGGAAAAACAAGGTGCAGGATTAGAGGCCCTGGAAGGTCGCTCAGAAAGGACTGCATCTGGCAGAAATTCTGAAACATTTCCGGGGATGGAATTGCAGGGTGAGACCCAGACCCTCGATTGTTGAGATGGGTGTTATGACTCAGTTTTTCCAACTGCATTGCCCATCCATATGGAAAGCATAGTTTTTGTCAAGTGCCCTGTTACAGGGTATCTCTTTTCTTTTTCTGCTTACTTCATCATGAGGAAGGACTGCTTTTCTGGTGTGACTTGAGTTTGGGAATGTCCCTTGTAGAACCTTTGGCAGAGAGAGAACTAACAACTGTTAAGCATATATTATATGCTGAAAAGTGGGCTAGACGCTTTATACATGCTATATTGTGCTGCCTGTCCCTGCTTTAGCAGGGGAAATAATGCAAACTGCACCCACTGATGTCCAGCAGGGTGCCCCAAATCCTTGGGTCCCTGAGGTAGAGAGGCTAGGAAAGTGAGTGGAGGGGGCAGTTCACGCTTGTCTTCTGATAGGTTAATTAGAGGGCTGGTGAAAGTCTTTTGGCAACCGGAACATAACGACTTTTCCACTCTGAAAATCTGGTCATCCAAGATATGGTTAGCCCAAGAGAACAATGTTGTAAAATCCTACGTATAATAACTAGGTATTTCTCAGTATACTCTGGGTCCTGACATTCAACCTCATGGACTTTCAGCCTTTCTAGGGCAGTGCATCCCATTCTTCAAGATTTGCCATGCCCCTTCATCTGGGGGGGTGGTGAGGGGGAATGGGTGAGGAGGAGAGAACCTGGTACTGTCCCACGGCCCTGGGAATAGAAAAGAGAGAGGGGCAGAGAGGAGAATGAGGAGGGCAGACTCTCCTCCCGTTTGGAGAGCACATAGTATTGAGTCCACAAGCATTAAAATGATCAATTCTGGACTGATGAACCAGGTGGATGTCTTTGGCTTCTATATTATTGGCTACTATCATAATTAATCCTTAGCAGGTTAGACTGCATAGCCAATATACAGCTTTCCAGAAAGAGGAGGGAGGTGGGAATGTTGAAGAATTCAGGGAAATTAGGCCCAAATGGCATTTCCTCAAGGGATAAGCCAGCCTTCAAGAACCTATGGGGTTGCAGCATTTTCAAGTCGGGCCCAAGTAGATTCTTAGAATTCTGTATCCCACTGTGGATTTTTGTTTGGAAGGCCCACTGAAACTACATCAAATGGGAAAAGAGGTCTTTCCACAAAGGAAAAGCAGAGTGCAGTTACTGAAAGAAAAGGGACCTGGATAGGCAAAGTCAACTGATGTCACACCAATGTCACATGCAGATGAATTGATCAAAGAGTAATTTCCAGGACTGTGATAAAAAGACAGGTTCCAAGCTGGGTCATTCAAAGAATTCCATCAGAGCAGGACGAGGTAGGCCAGGTGTGGACTTAGTCTTCCAGAGATTGGGGACTGACAGAAGCCAAGTAAGAAACAAACCCCAGGCAGCAGTTAGGGTTTAGAGACGGATGTTCTTTGGGAGGAGAAAGAAATCTGGGCAAAAGGGGGTTGGGCAGGCAGCCAGGAGACCCTACATACAAAACATCTGGCATAATTCCTAGTACATGATCTATGCTTAACAAATGTTAGTTCTCCTCTGCCCAAGGTGTCCAGGAGGGAACGCCTATCGCAAGGGCTGACAAGTAGGGCAGCGGACAGAACTCTGGGCTGAGCTAGAGATGTCCTGGCCTGTTGCCCTCTAATTGAGGGCAGGAGAAGAGCAGAGCAAACTGTGGGCATCTGGGTATATATTTACAACAGCCAGGAGAGGTAAGGGCAAGCGTTGGCAGGCAGCCCTTCATATTTTCATTTGGCAGTAGGGTGAGTAAACACACGAAGGACTCAAGAAGACCCCTTTGCATGACTCAGATGCCCCAAAAAAGGAGGTCAGGTAAGGACAGGGGACAGAAGGTGAGATGTCGGCACTTTGCTTTAGTAGTTCTGAGCAAAGTGCTTCCTAAACTGTATTCCAGAGCTGTGTTTCTCAAACTTTACTGTATACAGGATCACCTGGGGATCATATTAAAGAGCACATTTGGCATTGGTAGTCTGGGGTGAGGACTCTCAAGCTCCCAGGGGATGCTGATGCAGAGTGGCAAGGCTTTTTATGACAGTATTTCCTAAGATGCTTATAAAGAGCATATGGAAAACTCTGATTGAACAAAGATTAACAAATTCATTCATGTAAGACTTGTTACAGCTTTTAATATGCTAATGTGATTGTGAAACTCAAGTTCACAAGGGGTGAAAAGGTACACTAAAATTCAGTGTTGCTAAACCTGCTAGACCACAGACACTACTTTTTTCTTAGAGCACTTATTGCTGTCTCATAGAGCCCCGTGGAGGAAAGGTTTCCTGAACAGACCTTCAACTATAGACCCCTGAGCCCACTGAAGGAGTGAGGCACCACTCCCAAAGCCCTCTGGAGAGGCCAACTCTCAGGGCCGTGTGAGCTGGGGCATTCTCCTTTCTTGATCAGCTCTAATAGTGAAAAAGAGGGATATGGAGAGGTGCGTGTTGTACAAGTATGATATTTCCTTCACTTCACTTCCAGCTGAAGACAAATTTTGGTGCAGTGAAGGAGAAGTACCTGAGTGAATATTGCTTTTCTGGCACCTACATCCTCTCTCTCCTTCTGAATGGCTATCATTTCACAGCTGATTCCTGGAAGCATATTCATTTCATGGGCAAGGTAATTTGCGTACTTGCTGGGTTGGGGAGAGGTTGGGTGATAGTGACTGAAGCAGCTTTGGGCTTGAAAGGGGTAGGAATCAACCTGATTTAATTTTTGGCCTGATGTCCTGTTCTACCACTTCATCTCTAATCCAAGCCGGCATTTTGTGTCAAGCCCTCCTGGGTATGTCTACCAGCCAGTTGTGGGTATCCTATCTAAGGAGAGCTACCTGCATTCTCAGCCTTGCCTTTCTGTTTACACAACAGTGACTAATTCCTTATAAAACAAAAAAATGAGTTATTAAAGTAACACAATAGTATTTCAGAAGTAGCCACAGAGATTCTGTGTGCTGACTTCATTTCATCCCAAAGGCCCCTTCCACAAATCTGGAAAGGGTGATGCACGGTTTCTTATAAGAGATGAAGGCCTTGTTAGTTGTAACTTCAAGGTTGACCAATCTGGAAGCTCAGTGTGAAGAAGGGGATGAGTGGCTGTGAATGGGGGTCTTTGCTTAGAAACCAGGTTTGGTGGGAGCCTTAAAGAAGCAATCTCACTGTTGTGCTTTACCATAGCGCCACCTGCAGGCAGTCAGGCACAGAGAAACATTTACGCCAGCTGCGGGACTCATGGGCAACTCATACTTGATGAAAAATATCAAGAGCAGTGTTTCTCTACCTTTTAAACTCATACCACTAGTGGCAAAAACAATTTACCTCCTTCATTAAATACAGTGATTTCAAGCAAAACAAAGCATTGCGGCAGAGGGCTGTAGCAGCCTTGAGGATGCTAGTTTCATTACACTCTTGTCAATACTGACCTTGCTAATTCAGACGCAAATCTTTTCGTTGTTTTAATATCCCAGTATTTCTGCCAGTTCATCACAGTTTATTTTGTCTACTTAAAAGATATGTCTATGTCAAACATACAAGTGATTTATGTTCTTTGAACTCCAAAAAATGGTCCAATATTTCTAAACCCTAGATGATAACTCCTCTAACTATGGAGCCTTCCTTGACACATGCAGTCAGATAAGTTCTAGTACCCCATAAAGGGAAGTGGACCTTTTACAAATTATTCATTTCCAGTACTGGTAAGGGTTATGAGGAAAAGAGCATTTCCACATATTACTGGCTGGAATATAAACTTGCACAACCTTTGGGGAGACTGTTTTGGCAATATGTGCTAAGAACCTTAAAATACGTACATCATTTTATCCAATTATTCCATTTCTAGGATTTATATATAATTGGATAAAGTGAGTAAAAATAAATGTTTAAGGCACTTCATGCCAGTGATGTAGAAATCCCTTAAGAGACATGGGATGATGTTTATAAGGTATTGTTGAGTGAATAATTCTACATACAGTTTAATCCCATTTTTTGTAAGAAAAAACATGCACAGAGAGGACTGAAAGGATATGTCACAAAATGATCATAGCAGCTTCTGAGTGGTGAAGTACAGGCGGCAGAGTCAGACCATGTTTTATCTCACGCATATGTATAGTCTTCCAACTTCCATAAAGGAAGATTGACTTGCGGGGATTATTCCCCAGTTTTTCCCTAGTTAAATCATAAGCAGTCCTGGTTTTGTATGTATGAGACTCCTGGGCCTGACATACATGTAAAAGGCCAGGGACAATCACTGTTCTCTCATCCTCTGCCTGCTTCCTGTCACCTCCCAGCCCCTCAACGTTCACACAAAAACAAGAGGAAGGTAAATCTCCCAAGGCCTATTTGAATTAAATTCTTCTAGGGAAGAGAAGTAGGCAGTCAGTCTCCAAACTCCCCTCTGAATTTTGGGAATACAGTAGTGAGGCTCCAAACTCTTCTTAATCGCTTGCTCCTGCTCCGTTTTCCTCACTACCATATTTCCAGTTTAGAATAGAGAGGTAATCCATTTAGAGAACTGAACTTGGTGCTCTCCACCTCCTGGTTGCTCAGTGTTATGGAGAGGACTGCATGAAAGCTCATTTAATACTTGCACCAGAAACAACAGACTTTCCCCACTGTTTGCAGATCAGGAGCAGCGACGTCGGGTGGACTTTGGGCTACATGCTAAACCTGACCAACATGATCCCAGCTGAGCAGCCGTCGTCTACACCTCTTCCCCACTCCACCTATATTTTCCTCATGGTCCTCTTCTCCCTGATCCTGGTCATAGTGATTGTCATAGCCATGTTTGTCTTTCGCAAGCCTTCGTATTTCTGGAAAGACACAGTATAGCAGGAGCAACTGAAATCTGCTGGCTGGAGTGAGAAAAAAACTTCCAGGGAGCACATTCCTCCACAGTGGTGTACAAGATCATCCTTCCTTGCTCACCAAGGCCTGTCTTGACCAGCATGACGCTTCCTTGGCTTTTGCTGAAGCCTCTCATGGGAGGTATTCGCCACCTTCTGCCTCAAGGCCTTTCTGGCAGACACTGTCTCTTTTGTGAGTCTTTCTCAACTCCCCTCTCTTTTGTACTGTGTGCTTGTGTAGGTCTTAAAGACCTGCCACCTTTCATGATCTTTGCTTTATAAAAGAACAAGAGTGACTTTGTCCAGAAGAACTGAGAGTCCTGAGTCCTGTGCTGGAAGTTGCGCTGGCTAAAAGCATCATCTCAGGAACTGTTCTGTTTGTATTCTTACAGACCCTTTCTCTCTCCTGTTTCCTATTATTAAGAAAGCCATACAATGCCTTTGGAGAGGGCAGACACACATCCAATTCCCAGCCTGCCCTTTGTATGAGAGAATTTTCTAGACTAGGCAAATATGTGCTAGGGCCAAAGAGTCTTGCAAGGGAATTTATGTGCTTGTGCAGTTAATATAATACTTAAGCCAATCCAAAACAGGGATGTGGATGAGTGACATATTCCTTGGTGATATCAACATGCTACAGAGTGGAACACCCAGACCAGAGAAAAGCTGATGTACATACAGGCATTCAGATATCAGGGCATACTACATGGTAGGTGTATACATGTCAGGAAGAAAAATACAGCTACAAACAGGGTTGGGAAAATGCATTCTCTGATGCATCTATTGGGGTTTTACTTTTATTGTGGTAAAATGTGTACAACATAAAATTCACCATTTTAACATGTACAATTTGGTGGCATTTAGTACATTCACAAAGTCATGCAATCATCACCGCTATCTAATTTCAGAATACTTTCATCACCAAGAAATTGGCTGGAGACAAGACCATCCCTGGGTAGGCCTGAACCACCAGCCTTTCAGTTAATAGCCAAACATGCTAACCAATTGCACCACAAGGATGCTCACTGAGTTTTAAAGCCATGCCATATGTTATTGTCCCAGGGTTTGATTTGGTGAGAGCTGCATTAATGTAGAGTGGCATGCCTGTTCGTTGTCATGGTGTTTACACATCAAAATGTGCCAGAAGCCAGATCTTAAAGTGTTGTTGGCCACCCCTGTCACACAAGTATGGGCTCTATTTACTTCCTCCATGGAATATTTTATGGGAGAAGCAGCAGCTACGGAGCTCGTCACAGAAACATTAAGAGACCCTGTGCCTTCTTCCTTTAGGGACTGTTGTTAAGAGTTGCCTGTTGAGAGGATGCAGTGGTGATGTGTCTGACCTTGTCCCAGGCTCTTCATCTCTGGATTTGGGAACTGACTGTTGAGCTGCTGCAGAGTGGAGGGGAAGGAAAACCTCTTCCACAAAATAGCAGCCAAATGTCCCTATATCTCTTGAACAATCAAGTCATTTTTGACAACATCCAGGTGACTATAAGCTGAATAAAGCTGTGGACAGAAACTTTTTTTCTGCTACTCACAACTGAACTTGCTGTACCTCGATTAGGAATGAGAAGCCAAATTAGGACACAGTTAAACTCTCTTAGTGGTAGTTGGTTCTATCATTATAGCTAGTATTTACTGAGCATTTGTTGTAAACCATGCTCTGCGCTCAACTGCATTACATTCATTTTCTCATTTAATCCTCACAATACTCAGAAGGGTAGCTACTAGCACTCCCACTTCATAGAAACAGAAACTGAGGCTCAGAGAGGTTAAGTCACTTGCCTAAATGGCTTGGCTAAAGCCTGGCATGCACTTCACCATTATTTTCTCTCCCAAATATACTAGACTGTCTCCATATGACTTCTAAGCACACACGTAACTCTGCATGAATACAGGGCTTATGGGCATGACCTGTTCCCTGATGGACTTGTGATGTAACAGTGCTTTAAGTCCACAAAGACCATCATGGCAACATCAATATTCTGTTCATGTATTTTGCATTGTAACACATGTGGCATATGATGCTAATCAATGATTCCCATACTCCTGGCTTCTTAATTACACTGCTTGCTTACTGCACAGCAGTTAAGCATCAAATAAACAGTAGTTGATGATAATGATGAAAATAAAAGGTCTATTTATTAATAGAGCCAATAGCAGCCCCTTTAATCCTTATGTCTGCATATACAAAAGACTGTCATGCACATTATTCTGATCCTAAATCAAACCACAAGGGTGTAAGTGTTATTTCCATACACAAACTAGTACATGGCAGAGTGGATACTCAAAACCCATGTCTTCTGCTCCAAGTTTACTGCTCATTCTTTTCTAAACACTGCCCCTCAGCAAGTTGGAATTAGAATTCACAAGTTTCCTTCAGCAAACACTGAAATATTTTCTTATTCCATTTCTGTCTTGTTGCCTGGGTCCAAAAAAAAAAAAAAACCCTTTAAGGTATTCGGGAGCCAAACTCCACTTGTTAAAAAATCTCAAATCATGGAGCCGATCAGCAGGCACAACCTAATCTCATTTCTGTTGGAGGGAAAGTTAGTTTTGAGGCAGATCTAAGAATCTGCTTTGGGCCAGTCTGGATGAGGAAAACCAAATAAAATGGATCACTATCAGCTAATTTTAATATTGGCTTGGCCACTGGTTATAAGTGATTACAGTTACCTCCTGGCCTTTCACCCAAACTTGGTTCTGGTGATCACATTCCTTTAGGTGGTGGGAAACTTTTTTTTATGAACTCATGGGGGAAAAATTAGAAGCGGTTACTTCTGTAGATCAAAGAATTAAGTTACTTAATTAGGCTGTGTATGTATATGTGTGTGTGTGTGTGTGTGTGTGTGCGTGCGTGTGTGTGTGAGAGAGAGAGAAATACAAAAGTTTCACCTTACCTAATTCTTAAATTAATAAGAAATATAAAATGCAATATGAATAAAAGTTTTTAAAAAGTATACTTCATTTTGATTGATTTGTATCGATCAAGATCTCTATAAGAAAAACATGGCACAAGCATACTGGATAACAAGGGGGGTTTTAATAAAGTGACTATATCCAAAATATTATCATTTCAACACATAATATAAAAATATTAATGAGATATTTGTTTTTCCATATTAAGTTTTTGAAATCTATTGCGTGTATTACATTTACAGCACATCTTAATCAGGACTAGCTACATTTCAAGTGCTCAACAGCTGTGTGTGACAAGTGGCCACCCTATTGGACAACACATGTCTAAAAATACATTCAAAGCTAAAAAGAGATCGGCAATAATCCTTTATCTTTCTCTTAAGGAGGGGATTTCCTTTTAACAGAGATACTAAAACGTTCTTGACAGTATTTATTATATATGAAGTTTAACATTATTTTTAAACAAGCTTTTAAGAGCCAAGCTCAGAATTTCACTTTATTCTTCAGGTTTTGTTGCCTTTTTTGTGAAGGCAGAGATCCCTGTTATTCAAGGCCAAGAAGCCTGATGAAAGACTTCTGGAAAATTTAATCTGTACTCAAAGATAATACAAGATAATTTTGATGCCTATATTCTATAGTCAAAATGTAAATTTGAATATTAAAATAAAGATTAGTCTCTTAATAGCTCACAGAGCAAAGTTTACCATATAATAGTAGAATTACTGTTAAAATATATTCTCATTTATTGTCAGTTGGAAAGATGAGCTGAATTTCACCCAAATTGGTCTGGTCCCTCTCTGATTCATATCCTAGTAGCTGGTATCTTGTTAGAACATGACAGTTGCTCATAGTTAGCTGTGCTCACTAACCATATGTTTCTTTCAGCTGGTGTTAGTTTTATTTTTTAAATTTCTTACAACCACCTCAAAGTTTCAGTGGTTCACCACAGCAAACACTGATTTTCATGTTTGTGGGTCTGCAAGTCAGCTGAGTAGCTCTACTTCAGGCAGTAGGTCTGGTTCAGGCCTGCTCCATATATCTCACATTCTCCTTGTCTGGTGGCTTCCTGAGCCATGTTCTCACGATGAATAGCAGGGGCACAAGAGAGTGAGAGCAAACACAGGATGCCTGTTAAAGCCTTGGCCAGGACGCGCTCCCTGTCACTTCCACCCACATCGTATTAACCAAAATAAGTGATATGACCAAGCCCAACATTAGCAAGTTGGAGAAACACTGGGAGGGATGGCAGTGTCATATGGCAAAGGACATGGGTGATTAATTCTAACACAGTAAAGGATTGAAGCATTGGACACAATGATTCAATCTACCATGTGTCTCATTAGCTAAAACATAAACTATGTTTTCAGTAAATGACAATCTACTTATCTTGCCAAGGAATGTTCTTTTTAAAAAATGTCATTACTTCTAAGACGACATTGATCTGCAGCTTCTTTCCACAGCCTTAATCAGGATGCTCCGGCAGCTCCCAAATTAGCCTCACATTCGAAAAGGGTAGATTTCCTAAGAGACCATGCATCTATTTATTTTCCTTATGTTATATGTTTAGAACAATGTATAGTTAACTACCTAAGTTATTATTTGCACGTGAATCTAATACAACTGAACACAATTGTGGTTTTTTTAAAGATTGGCCCTGAGCTAACAGCTGTTGCCAACCTTTTTTTTTTTTTTCCTTCTTCTCCCCAAATCCTCCCAGTACATAGTTGTATATTCTAGTTGTAGGTCCCTCTGGTTGTGCTATGTGGGACGCTGCCTCAGCATGGCCTGACGAGCAGTGCTAGTTCCACACCCAGGATCTAAACTGGCAAAACCCTGGGCCGCTGAAGCAGAGCACACAAACTAAACCACGCGGCCACAGGGCCAGCCCCTGAACACAGTTGGTTTTATCACAGGTATAATGGAATTTTTAATAATGAGGACAGGAGTATCTCCATGAGCCTTCTCTTTAGAAAAGTGGCATTTAAGACTGTACATGTGATAAAAGCATTGCTATATTTTTGCATTTTATTTTATAACATTGCTATTCTTTTGCATTTCTCTATTTTAAATTAATTTCTAGATTTAAATTGTTGATACAATGATGGTATCACCCTCATCAGCACCTGAGTTGACTTTTTGTCTTTATATCCCTTTTGCATGTATGTTGAACAGCAAAGCTCATCAGAGAACATGGGCTAGTCAATGACAAGTGAGATACAGTCACCTAAGAAACAACATCACTCGTTATAATGAAGTTCTAAGAAGAAAGGGGAGGAAAGTCTTGGGAGCTAGGTAGGGAATAGTGTGTATTTAGGATGACCTCAACTGAACTCTGTCTTTCCTCCTAAACCTGCCCTTACTCCTGCATTTTATCATAATTAATGCTACTACTGTGTCAAGTAACCAAGATGAGAATCAGCTTCATCAACAGGACTGGCCCATTCTGCCTTTGCAACATTGTTCATTTTGATTCCCCTTTCCAATCTTACTGCACCACCCCAGTAAAGACCTGATACCAGGAATGGTGGTCTTGTCTCCAATATATTACTGCCAGATTAATCTTTATAAAAAGCAGGCTTAATCACTTTGCTCCCCAACTAAAACTGCTGGTGGCTTTCCACTGCCTACAAAATAAGATCAAACTCTCTTACAGACATTCAAGCCCTGTGATCCATGCCTAGAAGCTCTCTCCAGGCTTACATCCCACTCCACCCCTCTGACGTTTCCTACACTCCAGCCAGGGTAGACTGATCCTTCACCCGACACTGTTCAAGTTATTTGTTCAACCTGCAACACCTCTGCCCTGCTCTACCTTCAAAGCTCAGCATAAACACCCCTTCCTCAGTGAAGTCTTCTCCAAAACTCCAAGCTAGAAAAAACTGCTTCCTCCCTGTGCTCCCACACCCTTTGCCTGGGCCTCCATTAGAGCACTCCGACCATCTTGTTAAGTGTTTGGGTTAAGCTCCTTGGGGGCAAGAATATGTGACCTATTTCCCTCTGAAAAGTTGGGCTCAGGGGTCCTTTAGCGGGAACTAAGGTAACAGTCCTAGTTAGTCTCCCCATCCACTGCCAGGCAAGTTGGTCCATGCCACTATTTCTGCTTCAGTATCCTTCTTTATGTTATCTCTCGACATGGTCATCCTCTTCCTCCAGTTTTCAAGGACCAGCTCAACTCCTGATTCTTCAATGAAGGCTTCTTTGATTACTCACATTGAACTTTTACTTCTGGACCATGAATTTAGTTTCTGTATAGCTCACCACAAAACACATGATTGTACATATTATTAAAGTAGAATTTTAAGGATTAGAACGCACCTTAAAAGGTCATGCTTATCAAAATTTAATGTGCATCTGACTCACTCAGGGATCTTGTTGAGATAATTATTTAATTTTAATTAATAAAAAATGATTCAGTAGGTCTGGGGTGAAGCCAAGATTCTACATTTCTAACAAGCTGCCAGGTAATGCCAGTAGTACTGTCTAGGGACCACACTTTGGGTATCAAAGATCTGGACTACTTTACCATTCTGTGATAGTTTCTTCTACTGGCTCTCAGATAAGTGGTGATCTACTATCTGACGGCTGTACTTAATTTGGCAGCTTGTTCCACAGTGGGCCAGCTCAATTGCCACTTAAAAAACTTATTCCTTCTCTTACACGACAATCCTCAAGTGTTTCTTTTTTCGTCAGTTTCCTGTGCCTAAGGAAATTTCTGTTTACCCTGCCCTCTGCCTTTGGGGAGCTACTCCCTTGCACTCAGTGAGATCCTGTGTACCTCAGAGTGATTTCTCCCAGTCTTCTGTCTTGCCTCTAGCTTTCCGTATACTACCGCTGTGCTCTTGGGGAGAGGCCCACAGGAAAGAGCTGGTAGGTGATCCATAATGCAAGCTACATGCAACCTTTAAAAATTCTTTAAGTTCAGCTGGTTTCTTTTATCTCTGTCTAGGATGGCTTTTTCCTTCTCCTGTCACTCTACCAGGGATGAAAGAGCTAGTCACTTTCAGGAATTTAGTTATGATGGGTTTTTAAACACTATGATTTTGTTGTTTAACCTGCTCAGTGGAAGCTACAATCTCTTACCATATGTACACAATAATTATTTGTAAAATGAATAAATGAATCATAAATTATTTTTTTACAAAGTTTGCAACCAGAAATGCAATTCATTAGCATATATAACTAAAAACAGACCTTCAAGAAATCAAATAGATTTCTAGTTTTGAAAAAGCAATAATTATATGTACTCCACATTGTTACTTTCCTTATATTTATAAATACTCTTACAAAAAATTAAAAGATGTTGATGGCTAATTTTATAATAACACAAGTTGCCTTTTGACATACAAGTTATTTTTTTGTTGTGAAATGATTTTTGGCCCAGTAACAATGAAAAAGGGGCAAATACAGATAAACAGTGGGCAGTTTTTAAAGCAAACTGCTCAGCACCAATTGCAGTTTTTCTTGATGGTAAATCAGAGTATTCCCTTTCTCTTCAGCTCTGCAATCTACAAGCATACCATAATTGTAATCAGTAGGTTAAAAATATGATCTTTTGTGCTGTTCCATATCTCTTATACTTTTACCTCTATAATAGTCAACTGAACCATCTTCTTGGAATACACGTGAAAATTCAAGTCCCTGTGAAGAATATGGCGTGAATATGCTCTGTCTCCTGCAGTTAAATCCATTTGAAGGATGTATTCTTTGATTATCTTCTGGAAAGATCAGTCTAACAATATAACAGAAACAAGTTATTTTTAACTTTTTCAATTTTCAAACATAAACAAAAGTAGAATCATATAATATACATCCACGTGCCCATTACAGAACTTCATCAACTATCATCTTTTGGCCAATCTTGCAGAAACAAGTGTTAATTATAATCACAGATAGAACAGGATTCAAACTTCAGCGAGGGCATTGTGCTAAAAGAAGAAAGAAGTAAATGGAATATTTTACCAGCGGTCAAATGGTGAAGGCAGACAGAATCACTGCATGAGGAAACACAGTGAACGTAAACCGAGGGTTAAGGTCTTTAATTGCATAGAAGGATGCACTTTGCCTGAAACGAGGTAGACACATTTTATAGGCCCCTCTTCATCCTGCAGGGAGAATCAGGACAACAGATGGAAGTCCCCCTGAAGAATGGGAGGTGAATATGCTTTGTCTTTTTTTGGTGTAGCAACAAATCAATGGGTTATGTTACTTATATATAGACAATCTCTTCTAGAATATTTAACACTGAGAAGCTGAAGAAGCTAATGAATCGCCTATTTTAAATTGTAATGTTTGCTTTTCATGTATGTTTAAACCTAATACCTCTCTTTTAATAAGCCTCTACTAAAATACTCATTTGTGGGATAATTCTAGCAGGTTGTTTTTGGCAATAGGGTCAATCTTCCTCCTTCTGCTTGGGGAAGATTGTTGCTGAGCTAACATCTATGCCAATCTTCCTCTATTCTGTATGTGGGATGCCGTCTCAGCATGGCTTGATGAGCAGTGTTTAGGTCCGCACCCATGATCTGATCCCATGAACCCTGGGCTGCCGAAGCAGAGCATGCAAACTTAACCACTAAGCCACCAGGCAGTCCTAGCAGGTTTTTAATGTAGGTATTTGATAGTGTCTACAAAGAACTCTATTTTTTTTCCTGTTGCAGTTCCTTTTTATCCAAATTGCTAATATGCTATGTTACTTAGGCCTGTCAGTAGCGGGTAAGTTAAAAGGAAGAGGGCAGGAAGAATCCTGTCTTGGCTGTCACCTGCCTTTTCTCCTCTTAAACCAAGGTTTCTTTCGATCTATCTAAATTTTTCCCTTAAGTCTCTCCACTTGAGTGGAATACCTTCAAGCCATTTAATCCTGTCTACAGTAGATGAATAAATTAGCGAAGTAAGCAAAACTAGGTAATTTGAAACAAAAAATCCAACCTGATTTCTATTAAGTAGTTTAATATAAATCAGTATGGAATATCCTTTTATACAGAAACCTAGACTCTTTCACAGAGGATACGTGGAACCCTGACCCTACATTGGTACTGAGTGACAAGATCGGGGAGAAAAAGGAAGCCAAAAAGGCATTTTCTTTTGCGTGCCCTCTTATGAATACTATAATTCTCCTAACCCAGATCATCATCAGCAATAGAGAGGCTGTTCTAAGGGAAGTGAGAGATTTTTACTGACCAACCTTGTCTTTTATCTTGTCCAATGGAAGACAGTGGGCTGGGGTTAGGATGTAGATTTATAATCATGGAATAGAGCTAAATTATCATAAAGGGAAAGAAGCTTAAGTTTCTGGTTTAACTGGTACCAACTGCTAGCCCCTGGAAATCCAGGTGCAGATCAACTGATTACTTCGTTTTATAACCCCAAACCATAAGTGATGGTCATTTCAAAAGGTCATGGCCAGGACCTGCAGAGGTTACACAGAACCCTGAATACATGTGAATTCATGTTTTCTAACATGTTTACATGTCACTGGTAGTGATTAGGTATAGCTTGGTTGAAAAAGATGGTTTCACAGCTAAATCAATATTTCTCCTTTATTTCTGCCTCTGCAATTATCAGTGTCGAAGTTCCTCTGAAATGAAGAAAGTGAGGAAGATAGATGAGCTGTTGGTAGAAAAGTTATGAGAGAAAAAAGAAGAGATTCTCAAGAAAAACAAGATAACTCATACTAGGTTCAGGCAAGAGTTCACATGCATCCATATGAATGTAGCATCCATATGCCACATGTAGCATAATGTTATATAACTGGAAAAAACATTCCAAATCAGAAGAAAAGGCACGTAATAACTTTCCCTATATATAACTCTTCATCTCCTTTCTCAAACCTTCTCTCTCTTTTGATGGCCTTTTTTTTTTTTTTTTTTTTTTTTTTTTTGCTGAGGAAGATTTGCCCTGAGCTAACATCTGTGCCAATCTTCCTCTATTTCGTATGCGGGTTGCTGCCACAGCATGGCTGATGAGTAGTGTAGATCCATGCCTGGGATCCAAACCTGCAAACCTGGGCAGCCAAAGCAGAGTGCACTGAACTTCACCACTAGGACATTGGGCCAGCCCCAATCGATGGTCTTATTTTCTATTCCAGCACACTACTCTTTTCCTGGCTTCTCTTTTTATTTCCATCCCTTTTTATAGCCTTTCTTCCTTATCTTGTTCTTTCCCTTTAGGACTTCATGCTTTACCTTTCTCCTCCTTGTCTTGCACTTCAATTTCAGTGGGGTCAGTGCTCTCCTGATGCTTCCACCTAATGACAAAGATAAAAAATTACTGAATGACAGAAAAAAGGACTACTGGGTTACGTATGTTAAAAATAACTTTGTAGCACATCTAAAAGAATATTTTAAAAAATCCTTGTCTAAAAATCATGGTATTTCCATGAAAAATCTGTTTCTGATACTTTTTACTTCAAACTTATAGTTAAGAATTAAACTATTTAAATCTAATTTGTTGTATTTACTTCAATCCTGGGAAATAAAGGTAAATTTCTAATTCATAGCAATCAGAAATAAGCCTTTATTATAAATTGAATCTATACAAGAACAAATCTGAATTTTAGTTTTGGGTGATAATTTATACCACTTGGAATGTTTATACAAATACTCTAATTTGAAAGAAGTCCAAGTGTTTTGTTGGAATCAAGTACCATTCCTCACTGTACAAAACAAAATGACTCACTTATCTAAATACCAGTCAGGATTTATGTTATCAGGAGTTGCATGGTTATGAGAAGATCTTGATCTTTGTAAAGATGTTTCCTGTTCAAAGTCCAGCTGTTCCAATAGCATCTGTTCTTGTGGATCACTAGGCTGGCTGTTGCAGTAGGACACTTGCCTTGGTCTGGTTCTGCTGTTGAAATCAAAACTTCTTAACTTCATTTGTTTTTGAAACTTTTGAAAGGGTGGTAGTCTTTGCCCATGACTTCTATGAACATTTTCAATGGTATTTCTCTGAGAAGTCATTGTTGGAATGGTCACGTAAAGGTCCCAGTGTGTGCTCTGATGCTTCATCAGCATATTCTACATCTTCCAAATTCATTTCATCATGAGAACAGTGCTGGCGGAAAGGTTTTTGCCTTTGAAAACCACCTGTATTGAGGTAATTAAAACCTTGCACAGGTAAGTCCTGGTCCTGAAAATCACCATGAGGTGGGTATTCATGGTGGTTAGACAAGGTCGTCGTTTTTGTCCCCGGCTTCTGTTAACAAAACCAAAATCTTTTGTTGGAAAGTGTTCCCAAAGTTACTATAGGCCTGATGGTTCTGAACAGAATGTCTCCTTTGTCCACAAAGCTTGCTAACAAAATCAAAATCATCTTCAGCATCTGGTTCATGGAAGTCACTGTGAGGGGGGTGACCGTGAAATAGTCTTGGTCTTGTTCCAGGTACTTTGTTATTGAAATCTGTTTCCTCCTGGGAGACATCGTAACACTGGTGATTAGCAAAAAATGAACATCTTGGTCCTGGTTCTTTTTTACCAATATCCCAATTTCTCAGGGGTCTCCTTTTGGGCATGCTGTCACAACACTGGTGTTTATAAAAATCTCCACACCTCTGGGAGGTCCACTACTGACATAATCATAATCCTTTATTTGTATATCATTTTGAGGCTGCTGATCATTAAGAAGGCTTGACCTTTTCCCAGACTTGTGGGGGGAAAATATGCTATAAATGCTTAGTATTTTAAGAATAAATAAAGGGTAAAAGCTATGCTATTAGCAAAATCGCCCTTTATTCAGTTCAACAGGACATAATTTTGTTGTGATATCCCCTAAATTGGATTGTGCCTCATTTTAATTTTTCTCCTTTGTGTGTCTGCTTATAAGCCCAAAATACTCTTTTGCAAGTGTCAACTTGTAAATTTCCAAACAAAAGTATGCTGGGGTTAAACAGTAAATTTTTTCCTAAAAACTGGTGAAGAATGCATTTCACAGCATCTCTTCATTTAAAGGAATATGTCATAACCAGATCACTTTTACCACAATTTACCTGATAGGTTAAGGAAGTAATCTTACAAGTAGAGCTGATGACATGCTGGATTACTGTACTGACGTCATGTCAGAAGAAATAATAAAAAACATATATGGATTTTTATATAATTACTCCTAAGAACTATTAACAGAGCTTATAACGTAAAATATTTAATTAAATAATACATGTGAGCTGTTTCCAATTTTTGACTATTATAAATAAAGCCGCTATAAATGAGCATTCATGTCAGGGTTTTGTGTGAACGAAAGTTTTCACTTCTCCAGGATAAATGCCCAAGAGTATAACTGCTGAGTCATATGATAAAACTATTTTTAGTTTTATAGGGAACTACAAAACTGTTTTATAACATAAAAAATACACCAACTTGAAAAATAGTTAAAAAGAGGAATAGATAGCATTTAGAATGAAAAAAAGATAACTATTAAAAAATCCAGGATAAGATACTATAATTGACTACAAAGTTAGAACTTTGCTTCCTAGCAACAAAGAACAAAAAGGAAAGTTTCATTAAAAACAAACAAAAAAACCCCAAGGTAACCAAAAATAAAGAACAAAAAATCCCCAATAATGTTTGAAAAAACAATGACCAGAAGTTGGTTCTGGCACTAACTTCTAAGAGAGATTTTTCACAAGGGTTTTATTCATAAGGAACAGGAACGTAAATAGCTATTTTGAATAGTGAAAATAAATGCTTTCTTAGAATGGAAGCTCAGAGATTACATGAGAGATTGTGTCAAGGCAGCTATGAAATGCCATGGTAAGCTGAAGAGTTCTGTACACCACCTCATATATTTTATGCATATCCTGTGATGCTAGCTAATGTCTAACACATTGCCTGGCACTGCTCAAGTATTCCTTCTCCTGGGGAAGAGAAAAATCAGAACTGTTTAGGTGGCAAAATGCTTCACATTTTGAGGTGAGAATTGAGGCTGAAAGAACAATAAAGTGGAAGAATAGCACATTAATATCTATTCTAACTTGTATTAAATCAGTCCACAGTAGACAGTTTCCATTTATTGGAAATAACAGTTACATAATATTTGTTTTTCAAAAAACAAAACCAAATACAAATACCAAACATTCCTCATGATTTAAAATAATACTGCATATTCTGAAATTTAAGTTTATAGAGAAAAATGTCAGTAAAGAGTGTAAAAACTTTTTAAAGTAAAGATAGACAAAAAACATTTCAAGATAATTTTTAAATTGTCTCTATCAGTTTATCAAGATGAATATATACGTCACAGAAGAAATTCTAGTACCATTTGATGGCCTTAATTCACTTCTGATATACTGGTAGAATAAATACAAGCTACCACTTAGAATAACAGCATTTTAAATTTTGAAGGGATCATAGAGGTTACCTAGTTCAATATTTGCCAAATAGTTTGGAGAACATTAGTATCCAATATCCTATTAATTTTTGTTCTGTAGGGGAAAAAAAGAGTTCTGTGGAAATAAGTTGGGGAAATGCTGGGTTAAATAAAATTGAATGAATTTCTTTGCTTCAGGAATTCTAAGGGCTTTTCATAAGCTAATATTCATGGTGATAGCAGTTTGTGTTCCCAAAACTTACTTGACTTAAAGAAAACCTCTTTTTATTCCTGTAAAACTAATAATATCTCATGAAGTACTAGTTTCATATGTTCTTAGAATACAGCTTAAGAAAACCTAACTGATCTGGTCCAATTGCTTTATTTTACAAATTAAACAACAGTGGCCTGAAAAGGTTATGTCACTTGCTCTAGATTACATACAATTCGTAAGTGGCACAGCTAAGGTCTGAAGGCAAATTTCCTGATTCCAAGTCCCATGGGTTTTTTCCCCCTCCTACCATTATCCAAGAATATGCTTCATAACTTTCATAAAATATTCATCTAAAATCTTGTTAATTTCACCCATGAAAGTATTCATTTGGGGGTCAATCCCCGGATTCTGCCATTGAGTTGGATGGGGGATTTGCATCTTCATCAGAATCCTAGACATCCACTCCAAGGTTACTGGAGGAAAAATATCAAAAAGAAATTTTAAATTCAATCATAAACAGGGTCATAGGCTTTTAGACACGTAAGTTGAGCACAAAATAAGGTGGAAAAAAACCAAATCTGCACACCATTTGCATCTTAGAAAAATCTACGGATATTTTGCAATTTTGCCTTAGTGGAAAGAACAAAACTTAAGAATTATGAGGTAAAAGTCATCAGGCAAACAAAATTTTAGAGAGAAATTTCAACTGTTAGGATGTAAACATTATCTCCTATGGCCAAGAGATCATAAAAATTAAGGGCTTAAGGAATAGGCAGTAAGAGGAAAGTTAATAGAAGAGATAAAGAGGGAGTGGGAATAAGGTCAGGGGTCCTAAAGTACTGAACACCAGACTTACCTAACTCCACTCTTCCATATCCCTTCTCTGAGCACCCATACTTTCACTATCTGAAATTACCTTATTTGTTGATTGCCTTTCTCCAGCACCATCCATCCATTCATTGATTCATCCATTCAGCGAGTATCTCTCAGGTGCCCAAGATGTGCCAGGCACTGTTTACACACTTAGAAATACAGGTAATGACCAAATCAGGCATTCCTTGCTCTCAAAGGAGAGACAGACCATAAACAAGTAAATAAAAGATATCATTTCTGCTTAAAAGGATCTTTTCGAATACCATGTCTTCTCAGACAAGGGAAACGACAGAGAAAATAAACAAGTGAGACGTCATCAGAGCTTCTGCAAGGCAAAAGAAACCAGGATCAAAACAAAATGACAACCCACCAATTGGGAGAAAATATTTGCAAATCATATATATACAAGGAACTCACACAACTGAACAACGAAAAAACAGCCCAATCAAAAAATGGGCGGAAGATATGAACAGACATTTTTCCAAAGAAGATATACAGATGGCCAATACGCATGTGAAAAGATGTTCGACATCACTAATCATCAGGGAAGTGCAAATCAAAACTCTAGTCAGATACCACCTTTTACTTGTTAAAATGGCTATAATCACTAAGACTAAAAATAAGAAATGTTGGAGAGGGTGTGGAGAAAAGGGAATGCTCATACACTGCTGGTGGGAATGCAAACTAGTGCAGCCACTATGGAAAACAGTATGGAGATTCCTCAGAGAACTAAAAATTGTGACCCAGCCATCCCACAACTGGATATCTATCCAAACAACTTGAAATTAACAATCCAAAGTAAGCTGTGTACCCCTATGTTCATTGCAGCACTATTCACAATAGCTAAGACATGGAAGCAATCCAAGCGCCCATCGACTGACAATTGCATAAAGAAGATGTGGTGTACATATACACAATGGAATACTATTCAGCCATAAAAAAGACAAAATCATCCCATTTGCAACAACATGGATGGACCTGGAGGGTATTATGTTAAGCGAAATATGCCAGACTGAGAAAGACAAACACCATATGACTTCACTCATATGGTGTTACCAGGGGAAGGGGGGTGAGGGTAGGCACAAGGGGTGAAGGAGATTACTTATATGGTGACAGCCAAGAAATAATGTACAACTGAAATTCACAATGATGTAAACTATTATGAACTCAATAAAAAAATTCTAAAAAACCCAAAACAAGCAAACAAACAAAATTAACTAAAAATGACTCAAAGACCTAAATTTAAGAGCTAAACCAATAAAACTCTCAGAAGAAAACTTTGGGGAAAAGCTTCATGACTTTGGATTTGGCAATGATTTCTACACAGGCAACAAATGAAAAAATGGATAAATTAGACTTCATCAAAATTAAAAACCTTTGTGCATCAAAGGATACTATCAAGAAAGGAAAAAGGCAACCCTCAGAATGGGAGAAAATATTAGCAAATCATATATCTGATGAGGAATTAATATCAAGAATATATAAAGAACTCCTACAACTCAACAAGAGAAACAAACAGGATTTGAATAGACATTTCTCCAAAGAAGATATGCAAATGGCCAATTAGCACATGAAAAGATGGACACATAACTTCTAGTCATTTTGTTGTTGTTGTTGTTAGTACCATCGAGTTGAATCCAACTCCTAGTGATCCTGTGTACAACAGACTGGAACCCTACCCAGTCTTTTTGCACCATCCTCTTATCTTCAGGCACCATAGCAAGCAATGATCTGCTGCTATTCACAGGGTTTTCATGGCCAATTTTTTCGGAAGTGGGTGGCTAGGTCCTTCTTCCTAGTCTGTCTTAGTCTGGAAGCTCTGCTGAAACCTGACCACCATGGGTGACCCTGCTGGTATTTGAAATACTGGTGGCATAGCCTTCAGGATCCCAGCAACATGCAGCTGCTACAGTATGATAACCAACAGTTAGGTGGTGTGGTTCCCTGAGCGGGAAATGAACCCTGGGTGCAGCATTGAGAACACTGTATCTTAATCACTAGACCACCAAACTAGTCATTAG